CTCTCTCTCTCTCTCTTTTTTCCCCCTTTCCTTCCTCCCCCCTCTCTCTCTCCCCCGGTTCTCTCTCTCCCCCCGGTGTCTCTCTCTCCCCCCCCGGTGTCTCTCTTTCTTTTTTCCGGTTCTCTCTCTTCTCTTCTTTTCTTTTTCTCTCTTTTTTCTCTCCCCCCGGTTCTCTCTTTCTCCCCCCCGGTGTCTCTCTTCTTTCCCCCCCCTGTTGTCTTTTTCTCTCTCCCCCCGTTGTCTCTCTCCTTTCCCCCCGTTGTCTCCGCCTCTCTCTCCCCCCTGTGTCTCCCCCTCTCTCTCCCCCCGGTGTCTCCCCCCCTCTCTCTCCCCCCCCGGTGTCTCCCCCCCGGTGTCTCCCCCCCCTGTTTTTCCCCCCTCCCCCCCTCTCTCCCCCCTGTGTCTCCCCCTCTCTCTCCCCCCGGTGTCTCTCTCTCTCCCCCCCCGGTGTCTCTCTCTCTTCCCAGGTGTCTCTCTCTCCCCCCGTGTGTCTCTCTTTCTCCCCCCCCCCCGGTGTCTCTCTCTTTCTCCCCCCCGGTGTCTCTCTTTCTCCCCCCCGTTGTCTCTCTCTCCCTTTCTCTCTCTCCCTCTCTCCCCCGTTCTCCCCCCCTGTTGTCTCTCTCGTTGCCTCTCTCTTGTTGTCTCTCTCTCTCTTCTCGTCTCTCTCGTCTCTCTCTCTCGTCTCTCTCTCTCTCCTCTCTCTCGGTCTTTCTATCTCTCTCTCTTGTTGCGTCTCTCTCATCTCTCTCTTGTTCTCTCTCGTTGTGCGTGTCTCCCTCTCTCGTGCCTCTCTCTCATTGTCTCCTCTCTCTCTCTCTCTCTCTCGTTGTGTGTCCCTCCCTCTCTTGTTGTCTCTCTTTCTCTCTCTCATATCATGTATCTGTCTCTCTCATTGTGTGTCTCTCTCGTGTGTGTGTGTGTGTGTGTCTTTCTCTCTTGGTGTGTCTCTTTCTCTCTCTCGTGTGTCTCTCTCTCTCGTGTGTCTCTCTCGTGTGTGTGTGTGCGTCTCTCTCTCTCTCTCTCTCTCTCTCTCTCTCTCTCGTGGTGTGCTATTGTTCGTAACTGCCATTGGTGACCTGGGGCAAGGAGCAGTTGTTAAACCCAAAGTAGATGGACTCAGATACTGCTCATGCAGCAGTTTTTGAATCCCTTAATGTCTGTATGCTTTCTACAACTCTTAGATATTTACGTGTGTGGGTTGGATTTTTCTGTCAGGTGAAGAAGATCATGAATGGAGTCTTTCAGTCTCTCAGAAAGGAGTTTGATCTGGAGGAGACGTACAGTGGGCGAGTTGTGTTGGGCACCATTATGAATACTATAAAGGTAAATGGTTTAAGGGGCAATACATATACAGTTATTGTTCATTTGTGTATCACACAGCTTTCCAGTGGTCAGGAACATAACTACGTTCCTTGCCCCTGTAGGTAGGAGCATAGGCTGATATGAGTGACCTTCTTGCCAACAGCTGTTGAGGAAATATTTTGTTGGATTATTCTGCATAGAGAAAATTTGCGTTAAGCAATATTGACCACATCCTATCCCCCGCCCCCTTCTCCACTGCATGGCGTAAACTTTAACTGTGCAGTCTGCCCATCAGTTGCTTGATTTAATTCTATTACACCTGCTTCTGGAAGAGTAACCAATCAACTGATTAACAGAGCACCGCTATTGGCTGCACCATACAGTGGTCAGCAAAGAGGAACATGCTGGTCAATTGGGATATCAGGGATGTGTTCTTTCACCCAGGTTCATCCCTTGTCAGCACTTACACTTTCTGCTCTCAGTATATTTGAATGGGTGGCTACAAAGGGAGACCTTGAGAGAGTGAAATGAATTGTTGACACAGGCATAAAGAAAAATCTAAGGTATTTATGGGGCTTAAATAGGCACAGAACTTTAACCCTTTCACTGCCATGGACATAAAGCATATGGACCTATAGAACCATTTCCAGCTGACCAAGTCCAGTATTCCTTGCATCGGCTACATTTCCCACTCGGGTTTAACATTCGGTTGCTTCAGTGACCATGAACTAGTATCAGAGTGATTCTCCTGACTGCTGCATACATAAAAAGCTATATTCAGCAGTTTATAAGCTGCTGATTGTAGCCATTAATAATTAATTCATTAAATATAATTCAATCATAGTAATTTATTCAAAAATGATAGTGATCCTTGCTGCTGCATTAAAAAAATAAATAAAATGCTGTGACTCCTGCACAGCTCTGATACCCTCCTCTTCTATCCCATCCTGCAGCAGGGACGACAGTGGGCTGTGCAGAAAAGAAGCATCCGGTGCTCAACGGGGAAGATCCATAGATAAGCAGGCACCAGCAAGTAACCTCCCACTGTGCCTGTTGATCCCCCCAGATTGGAACAGTAGAGACAGTGGGTTGTGCTAGGGAGAAAGGTGTCAGTGCCCAGGGAGAGTATCAGGATGGTGGAGTGAAGGATCAGTGAATATGACCCATCATGTTTATCTATTTGTCCTGAATAAACAGGAGGTGATCGGTGTTGATCACCTGATGTTCGTTCACGAATACCGAGATACTAAACATGAATGGTAATTTATAAATGATTAGGAGGCACTCTATACAGAGTACTTCCTGTTCAATGTGTGAGTGCAGCTACAGCTGCAATAGAGAAGAGACTGAGGACACTCTGCCCTCAAATCTCTTCTTGTATTTCACTAAAGCCCCTCTTCCCTCAGTAGTAAAAATAAATTAAATAAATGCAAGCAATAAAATAATAAATCTGCTGTAACAAAAATGTTTAAAAGGAACAATTCCTTATTAACATCAGTGATATGCGGAAACACGCACTATTGCATACGTTGCCACAGCACACAAACCGGTGTTGTTCTAGGTGATGCGTTGTGGTGTCTGTCATTCATTGTTAATGGCACACCAACACACCTTAGCAGGGGCAGACTGACCATTTGGAAACTCGGACACTGCCCAAGGGCCCGGGGTCTGTAGGGGGCCCCATGAGATGCCCCTGGTACCTTTTTCATAGGCTTTTTTGAGTTTGGGCAAGGACACGGGCCCCATGAGTTGTCAGTCCACCCCTGCACCTTAGTAACATGGATGTTGCAGTTCCTTACAACACCCAGTAACTTATCACAATGCACTGTGATTCACTGCATTTAAAAAAAAAAAAAAAAAAAAAAAACGTGCACCTTTTTTAGTGCAATTTATGAATGAGTTTCCCTAATGCATTTCATATTAATGCACATAAAAATGCAAATCAATGCAGAGAAAGGAAAAATGGTAAAAATGGTCTGACCAATTGTGTTTTAAAGCCAAGTACAGGCCTTTGGCAGCAAAAGGCTTAAAGAAACAGGATGAAACAATTGAGAATTGACATTTAAAGTAAAGATGTTTTTTTTGTTTTTTCACTTTAGTTAGCCTTTAACAATAAATTTTAACTGTTTTTATGACCATTTTTTTTATGCAGAAGTGAAACAAATATTTTTTGTACTGTTGAATTGTTGGTCGAGGGGGCGCACTGGATACCTTAGCTGCCATTGTGCTACGTGCTGGGTGTCCAGTGCGCTCCTGTACCATTAACGAGGGGTGGGCTCCCTCAGGTCCATCTGCCCTTGGTCTATCCATTAAATACATGTGCATCTACTATGGAGGCTCTTAAAATTGTAGAGTTAGGAAATACAGAATACTGGGGTGCCGAGACGAGGCTCTGTAGCTTACGTATGTATTTGCAAATGTGTTCTAACTAAACCCCTGTTTTTATCGCATACTGTTAGACAGGTTAATTTGATTTGTTTGCAGGCTGGCTGGCAAGTTAGAGCTCGAATTTTTCTTTTTTGTTGTTTGACGAGTGGAAAAAAAAACATGGTTTTAAAATGTATGTTTTTTTTTTTTGTTTTTGGGTTTTTTTTTTTTTGTTTTATATTTACACTTATGCAGTATTTACATTTTCTGCTAGGTAACAACACTACAGCTGTTAACTAAGCCACAGGATGAGGAGACAGGGACAGCAAGCAGCAGTGAAGAAGAAGAGGAGGAAGAAGATGAAAGTGCAGAAACTGAAGTGGTTCAGCCTGCACCACAGAGAGAACAAACATTAAATCTGGGCGAGGTGCATGTAGAAGTCAAGGAAAACAGAACGTCCACTTTTGAGCAAGTTCCTGGTGTTATAGAGGAGAATCATGAAGAGGTCAAAGAGCATACTGATTCAGTAGGCCATCAGGAATCAGGTTCTACCTCTACAGATCTACAGGAAGAAGGTGAAGCCTTACCCATCAGGGTCATCCAGGAAGATCTAGACACTCCATCAGCTCTTGTTCACATGATTTCCAGTGATACACCTGAATCCAGCACGGCGGAAGATCAAGTAACGTCGGGCGAAAAAGATGTTCTTCAAGAGCATTCTGCCCCAAGCTCCAGTGCTGAATCGCACACATTTTCCAGTGAGAATATTCTTGAGAATGAGGAGTCGCAGCAATCAAATGACTTCACAGCTACAGAGGAGGAGCAAGAGGTTCCACCACCTTTAAGAAATGATGATTACAGTAGCAGCCCAGTCCCGCCTAAAGAGGAGACCTCTGCTCTTGGATCAACTGGAATCCATGTAACTCACAGTCATGCCAAGCCAGAGGAAAGGAAAGACTTCAGGTTAGACTACTATACCACAGAATACAAAATTTCACACCAAAGATTGGGGAAACCCCTCTTGTATGTCAACCATTAACACTGTTAGGAGTTGTGGCAAAAAGCTCCATGAAAACCAGAAAGAGTAAATACTCAGCTTGGAAAGCAAAGGAGAAAAAGGACTAAAAAAAAAAAAGCTAAAACTCTGACCTCACTTTCTGTGTGGAGCAGCATAGCCTACGGGAGGAGAAGTATACCAGTCTGCTTTTGTTCGGTGTCTCTCCTCCTGGGCTTGGTTGTACCACATATGTCTACTTTGTCACCCAAAGAATGCTTAGACAATAAGAACATTTGTGTTTTCCTAACCTGAGTATTTAGGTAGATACTATACTATTTTAAAATGATCTCAGACTTTTATCATGTTAATTTATCTCCCTTATGTAATTCCAAATCTGTGATTTTCTGCAATGCTGGTGTTGTGTGAACATAAAGATGGGCTTCCCCATACACCCCCACTGGTAGTTTCCAAAATGGGGTTTTAATGGCTTGACTTCCCAAATTTCAGAGGCAAACCCTGTCCATCTGTCCTTATTGGTACTGAAGCACACTCCGTGGACAGTGGGTTGGCAGGTTAGTGGGGTCTTCATCCCAAAGCCAGGTATGTCAGTCTCCTTGGTGAATATGAAACAAAGTGTCAGGTGACTGCACAGAGCAGGGTATTGTGGCTATTAATATATTTGGAAGAAACTTTGTGGTGTTCACTGTAAGCCATTTCAATCTTTAAAAAGTAAAGATCCTGACCGGTTTGCTTTAGCAACATAAAGTCTATTCAGATTTTTCTGCAACTGCTAGATAGTTATTAAAGTGATTCTAAAGTGATTAGAAAAAAAAACCAAACGTGTCAATACTTGCCTGCTGTGTGCAGTTGTTTTGCACAAAGCAGCCTGGATCCTCCTCTTCTGAGGTCCCCAGCCAGCGCCACGCCAAGTCCTTTTATTAAACAGAGATCAGCGGCGATCCTAAGAATCGTTGCTGATCTCCGATCATTAGTGGTTTAGGAAACAGAGATGATCAGCGAAGAACATGTTCTCCGCTGGTCATCTCAGCACACAGACAGTATATGAAGGAGCGATGTCAGCCCTTCACTGGCGATCTGTGTTCTTCCTCCAGGTTCTCCAGCCCAGAGGTGGAGAATCGGGGGAACCGTAAACGAAGCAACGGTAATTTACTGCTGCTTAGTAAATGGTGTTGGATCTCTTACTGTAATCTCGCGAGATTATAGTAAAAGCAACCATTTTCTAGCGTTCAAAGCGTTTTGTAGATCGCTTCTCTCTTCATTCGGAGAAGTGATCTACACCACTTCAGAAAAAGGCATTCAGTGAACTCTCTCCTCTGAGAATGCCGGAGAACTGTGCAGCTGTCATTTACCGCTGCATGATAAAAGGACACCATAGAGCTGTGGCTCGGCCCCATCCTTCTCTCTTCTCATTGGCTCGCTGACTGTGATTGACAGCAGCGGGAGCCAATGGCTCCCGTTGCTGTCTCAGTCAATGAGAGGCGGAGTCCCGGGATAGTCGAGACTCCAGTGCACATTGCTGGATCGAGAGGGGCTTAGGTAAGTATTAGGGGGGCCTGGAGGGGGGAATGCTGCATAGAGAAGGTTTTTTACCTGTACCATTCTATGCATGAAGGTAAAAAACCTTGAGCCTTTACAACCACTTTAAAGTAGAAGCCCAGCTTGTTTGCCTCCTCCCCTTCCTCTTTTAACAATTGGCACTTGTTTCTGGTCTTGACAGGCACACACTCCCACTTCCGCCTAGGCCTAGATCACCCCTCCCCCCTTCCCCTGTTCACCTGCAACTTTCAGGGAAACTTCACAGGTCCCAAAAAGACTGCAGGACCTTTCACAAAGCGCAGCGGGTAGCCGGCTGAAGCTTAACAGCAGTTTTCCCTTAGTTAAGATGATGGACCCAAAGCCCATTGAAGAATTGGCTTGCGTGAGGACAGTGCTGGATCCCTTGACAGGTAAGTGTCCTTATGTTTAAAAGTCAGCAGCTACAAATACTAGAGCTGCTGACTTTTAATGTTATTGAGGGAGGCTGAAGATCCTCTTTAATCTTAGAAGGATTTCAGCAGTCAGTGTGTTTCTACAAATCTCGTAGCTTTTGATGAGCAGGTCGAAAGAGTGCTAGGAACTAAAGTTTGTTAAAAATGAAAAACCAAGTGAAAGTGATACTCGTGAGCTAAAATGTGATATTCTCTCTGTGCAACAATCTTACAAACATGTGAAACTTAGCAAATATCAATGAAATTGTGATGCATCAACACTAAACACATACTCATGAGCTGTGTAAAGAAATCAAATTAAAATAATATCTAAATGTGTCGCGCTTCACACTATATATTAAATCAATATAACCATGTGACACACAATAATATAAACGTGACAAAACTGTGTGCTTCAAACAGTGCAATATCTTGTGCAAAAAAGCATATAAATATATAAAAATATACAATCATGAAATTAATATAGAGTCCACTCTGTGCTTCCAATCTTGCTAGTGTCTATAAAAAGTGCCATGCAACACTCCCGGTGCTCAAGAATAGGTGTACGCTCACCTTACCAATTAGCCAAACTAAGTGGCTAATAACGCTTTTGTCCCATCAGGACTAAGTGGTGTTTTCCATGCTGAATGCTTGTTTCTAAATTCAAATGGATAGGCTTGTGCTACCAACTTTCTCCCACCAGGGGTCTCCCTCGCTCCTTTCTATCCACACTGAGCCTTGGTGGATAGATCGATTCCCCCTGATGAAGCCATGTGACCCTGTGGCGTAACGTGTAGGGGAGGGGCTCTGACATCACGATGCTGATACGGATAGCGGCAAATACAAACTGAGGACCTGGGCACATTATATTTGTTTGAAATAGCACTTTAAAATCAGGTGCTTTTTATTAAAGAAAAATCGCACACACACATATTAAAGGATAAGGCACTATTGTTACTTCCTTTTTTATGATATCCCACAATACCGAGAGGTGGAAGCAATATACAGATTTACCTCATCATCCACCAAGGCTCAGTGTGGATAGAAAGGAGTGAGGGAGACCCCTGGTGGGAGAAAGTTGGTAGCTCAAGCCTATCCATTTGAATTTGGAAACAAGCATTCAGCATGGAAAACACCACTCAGTCCTGATGGGACAAAAGCGTTATTAGCCACTTAGTTTGGCTAATTAGTAAGGTGAGCGTACACCTATTCTTGAGCACCGGGAGTGTTGCACGGCACGTTTTATAGACACTAGCAAGATTGGAAGCACAGAGTGGACTCTATATTAATTTCATGATTGTATATTTTAATATGCTTTTTTGAACAAGATATTGCACTGTGTGAAGCATACAGTTTTGCCACGTTTATATTATTGTGTGTCACAAGTTTATAATAGTTTTAATATATAGTGTGAAGCGCGACACATTTAGATATTATTTTAATTTGTTAAAAATGGAGCAATAAAAATAATGAATCCTGAGTAAGAAATACAAATAAAGTTGGTATTCGCTAATGTGGAATTTTTTTTTTTTTTTTTTTTTTAAGTAAATTAGTCACCAAATTTATTGTTTTTCAGTCTGGAAGCCTCTGATGATGAAGATTTGTTTAAAGCATCTTCTCCAAAACAGAAGACAAAGCAAGAAGAGGATGAAGAGGAGGAAGTGGTAAGCTTCTAACCCCCTGCAGTACCCATCATATCCTGTTGGGGGAAATTTAATTTAATCATCTCTGGAATTGGCTTCCTTTTGGCAAGAATTTACATTCATTATAGTCTTTAAAGGATAGTTTCATCTTTGAGAACATTTTACATGAGAAGTTCCCCATACTAGCTGTCACTTTTTAAAAACAGCCCACATGGCTGAGTCATTCATTCACAGTGTCCTGTGAATGAATGAACTACAGGTCCCAGCAGCCTTTGCGGCTGTGGGCTTGTAGTTCTCAATGAATTATCACGGAGCTGTGGAGCACCGTGGTAGTTCATTGAATCTTCCTGTCAGTATATCTGCTTTCCTGTACAGGCAAGCAGATATACTGACAGGTCTGCAGGAGGCCTGCATGGCACCAGCTATCTTCTGATCACTGGTGCACTGCTTTAGAGGATCCTGCAACCAAAAATAATAAATGCACATTTTTTTTTACTTGCAAAATAATGTGCATTTTATTATTTTTGGTCAAAAGTGAACGTTTCCTTTAACATTTATTAGGAACACAACTGGGTTTATGAGTCTTGATATCGTCATTGGTTTCCTGTGAATTAATTTCATGTTTACTGAACACAGAATCTGGTATTATTATTTACCAGATATTAAGGAGGAGATGGGGGAGTTTCTTTTTGGGCAGCTTTCTCCCCACCAAGAGACTAATTTTATAGTGGATGGTATGATTTCTGTCTGCTGCCTCTTTCCTCTGCTATCAGCTTAAATCACTTCTGACAAGCTTTCCTAACACCAAGAGATAAAAAGGTGACAGGGGAGGGACCTCCAGCACACACAGCCTGTGATTGACATTCTCAGCTCTGGTACTGTGTGAGGGGGGGTGTCCCTTCCCTCCAATCAGCCCTCATCTCTCCTCACTGAGCTCTACAGAGTGTAATGTTAGCTCCTCACCCCGTTTCTGTAACCTCAGACAAGCTGTATAAATTCTGCACTTTGCACAGATGAGAATACTGCAGATAAACAGGTACAACGTATGTAGGAGGATTTGTTTTATCTGTGTATCACCTAAGGCCAGTCACTACACTGGGTATATGTAAGGGTTTACAACCACTTTAACATAAGAACATTGAATGGACTCAAAATAGAATGCTGTGGGAATCTGTATAGGAAGCTAATTGCTGAATCAGGAGCATTTCTGGCTAGCAGTATCTGCTTGAGCAAGCAAGACAATCAAGATTTTAGCCAGATGCTAGTGGGCAGTGACTCTCCCGATCCAACTATTCACTTCCCTACACACAGTTACACACAGGAAAGCTGTATTTTGAGTCCATTCATGGTTTCTATATTAACTGAAGTCCTGATGAAGGCGGGCTTTTTCCTGAACCCAGAAACACAGATTTTTTTTGTTTATATAAACTAATAAATTAATTCGGAGACTCTATCTTTTTTCGTCTGGCTCTCCTGCCAATAGTGCATGTTTTCTGGTCACATGACTTTGACAGATCACATGATCAGACTCTTCTCCTGGGAACTCAACCTCCCCACCCACTCTTTCAGAGTCCTAAACCCAGAGTGAAGCACATTTATAAAGCACATCACCGCTGTTCTTTTATAAATGTGCATTTTTGTTTGTTTTTTAAGCAGCAGTATGAATGTGATATAAACAACCTCTAATTGTCCCTGTTGCTTCTTTGGAAGGAATCCCCTCAATTTCAGTTTGCTCTAATTCTTTGTGGGGGGTCACAGATAGCAATAATATTCTGACAGAGGATTTAACCATTTCTCTGTCTTCCAAATCTGAAGTTTTTTTGTTTTTTTTTAAACCCCAATAAAACAAAACATTTTTTTCAAAGTGTAACAAAATGAATGGTTAGGTGGTTAGAGTAAATGGTCATGTAACACCAATAAAGGAATTAGTCACTTATACTGATCAGGGAAAATTGAACTTTTGTGAGCAGGCCAGAACTGTGGCTGTGAGAGAATACTGGAGGGATTTCACTGCAAAGGCAAGGAAGGTCCTTCTCAGGCATATATACAACTACGGATTTAAAGGATAAGTTCACCTTTCATAACATATTACATGTTACACCCATATTCAGGGTGTAACATGTATGAAATGACCAATTATCACTCCCAGATCCCCCCCATTTTGACAGCTAGCAGGGGGATCGTCTTCCCCTCTAGCTGTCAAAGTTTAAAAAGAAATAAAAAAAGTGGCCATACAGGGCTTTGTCTGCCCGGCCATATCACTCATTCACAGAGTTCCATGGTTGAGAAACTACAAACTTTCCAAAACTCCATTTCCTCAAACTCGATCTTTCCAAAACTGAGCTCTTTGTATTCCCTCCAGCCCGTGCCCCCCCCCCCCCCCCGACTTCTCCATCAAGATCAATAAAACAACCATCAGTTCCTCCCCTCATGCCAGGGTACTAGGTGTAATCCTGGACTCCCATCTGTCCTTTCAGCCCCAAATCCAATCACTGTCCAAATCTTGTAGACTTCACCTCTGTAACATCTCCAAGATACGCCCGTTCCTAACCTCGGAAACCACTAAGCAACTTATTCACTCCCTGGTTATATCTCACCTTGACTATTGTAACTCCCTCCTCATTGGCCTACCTCATCGCAGGCTATCCCCTCTTCAGTCTATCATGAATTCTGCTGCCAGACTCATCCACCTTACTAACTGTTCTGTATCTGCCATCCCTCTCTGCCAATCCCTCCACTGGCTTCCCATTGCCAACGGATATAAAATTCAAAACATTAACAATAACATATAAAACCATTTATAACTCTGCCACAAATTACATCAGCAATCGTGTCTACAAATATCACCCAAACTGTACTCTCTGCTCATTCCACGACCTCCTGCTCTCTAGCTCCCTTGTCTCCTCCTCCCATTCTCATCTCCAGGGCTTCTCCAGAGCTTCCCCCATCCTCTGGAACTCTCTACTACCCCAATTTATCAGACTATCGCCTACTCTGCTCACTTTTAGGTGATCTCTGCAAACCTATCTCTTCAGGGAAGCCTATCCTGCCCTCAGCTAATAATGGAATCTTCTATTCCTCCTACCAGTCCATCCCCCGCAGTTATTACCTTTTGTACCACTAGCCCCTCCCTCTTAGATTGTAAGCTCCAAGGAGCAGGGCCCTCCTTTCCCTCTTGTATTGAACTGTATTGTCTCCCTTTATTATTATACAGGATATATATATAGCGCCAACAGTTTGCTCAGCGCTTTACAATATAATGTCCCAACAGCCTTAGCGGCTTTCAGCTTGTACTTCTCAATGAACTACCACAGCGCTGTGATAGTTCATTGATTCTTCCTGTCAGTATCAGCTTGCCCATATGAGGTACAAGCGAGCAGATACACTGACAGATTTGCAGGAGGCCTGCTTGGCATCAGCGACCCACTGATCGATGGTGCAATGCTTTACAGGCTCTTACAACAAAAAAAAAAAATGCATTTTTTTTGCCTGCAAAAAAAAATTAGCATTTATTATTTTTTTGTTCAAAGGTGAACTTATCCTTTAAAATACTGTAAATACCATTAAAGGTGTACAAGATGCCATTCTTGCATAGAAGGTGACAAGATGCCATTCTTGGACAGAATAGGTGACAGAATAGGACAGACAAGGTGACAAGATGCCATTCTTGGACAGAATAGGTGACAGATGCCATTCTTGGACAGAATAGGTGACAAGATGCCATTCTTGGACAGAATAGGTGACAATCTTGTGTCCTACACTAGAGAGGAAACATCAACTGGACGAGTCAGCTTGCCCAAGCAAACTAGAGAGTAGGTTTTGTACAAAAAATTTCTAGAAACACGTTTATAAATAATATTCACATTCACTGATCACATTGCCGTATGCATTGAGGTTTCTTTATACTATTCATACCATTCAGCTTCAAGAAATGAGCAGAAAGTCAAACCCACCTTTTCAGCCAGCTTGTGCAAGGCTAGTCCCCTGAAATGCAACTATACAGTATACACAGGACATGTAATGTGTCAGTCTGCAGTTTTTTGCTATGCAGTATGTATTGCATTTATTTTCTTAGAATCTCCGCTTATCGTTTTGCATGATCTTTGTCCTTTTTTCCAGAGTATGAAGGGTCGTCCACCTCCAGCCCCTCTCTTTTGCGATGATGATGACGATGAAGAAAATGATTTGGATTGGTTAGGATAAGAATGACATAGGAGTCCATTTTGGAGGTGATACTTCCTCAATACTGAAGCACACAAGTTTGCGGTGAGCAGCAGTATGGACAGAGTGGGTCCTAATGTGACCTTTGAATTCTGGAACCTGCAAAGCCATCTCTGTGTTGCTTGACAGTGCTAGAGCCAAGCACTCAAAGCCTATTTTCTTCCTATGTGCTCATTGTAGTGGCCAGTTCAGCCATCTTGTTGCCAGCAAACTGGATTAAATTGAATATTTGTAAAGACCCACAAAGCTTTGCAGGAAAATCAGCCAGGCTACAAGAACCCTCAGCACATTGCAGGAAGAACAAAGTGACCCATAATGCTCTGCTAAACTAGAATCTGAAAAAGATGGCTAGAAGCAGACATAACCAACAATGCACTGCAGTAGTTAGGTGGGGACTCGTAATGCCCTGCGGAAGGCTCTTCAAAAGTGCAACATGTGGCTAAAAGCAGGCTTGACATCAACGCAGTACTGAAAATTTGTTCCTCTTTCTGTGTCCCATTTTTTGGCGCCATCTAATCACAGCATCATTCAATGTTGGCAACTACTGGTTCTGATCATGTCTGTATTACAATTCTCTACTAATTCTCTTTTTTTAATGGCCAGAAGCACATTATGCTGAAATAAAACGGTTTAACACGACTGTGTTATTTCCATTCTGAAGTAATGTCAGTAGACCGTGTATATAATGTTTGGTTTTGTATATGCCTTTTTTTTTTTTCTTTTTTGTGAGTAATTCCTGTGCCTGCACCCGAAAGCTTAAAGTATAACTAAAGACAAAGATTCGATAGACTGGAGAGGAATTAGAACACCTGGCAGGTTTTTGTTGCTGTGTTCCCCTTTAGGGAAGTTCACTCTATTTGTTTTGCTTACTGTTATCCTCAAAATTAAATTTTGGGTTGTCCCCAAAACATAGAGGGGAAATCTTCAAATAGGGACATTAATTTTTGTGACCCTGGTGACAACAAGGGATTGCCTCATTTTGGAGGTATTTCCTCTTACTTCCTGTCCCAAATACAAAACAGGAAGTTAAAGGAAATTTCCCAAACCTGAAATGGCAAAATAAAATAAACCGACAGAGGTTATAATGCTTCCTTACTCTATCCAAAATAGTTACATAGTTAGTCTGGCTGAAAAAAGACAAAAGTCCATCCAGTTCAACCATTTAAAAAAAAAAAAAGTTATAATCCTATACCCACAAGTTGATCCAGAGGAAGGCAAAAAAAAAAAACAAAGCACAATCCTGCAGGGGAAAAAAATCCTTCCTGATCCCGAGAGGCAATCGGATATTCCCTGGATCAACTTTACCTATAAATGTTATATCCAGTTATATTCTGTGTATCTAAGAAAGAATCCAGGACTTTTTTAAAGCTATCCACTGAGTTGGCCAGAACCAACTCTTGAGGGAGTCTATTCCACATTTTCACAGCTCTCACTGTGAAGAAACCTTTCCGTGTTTTGGATATTAAATCTCTTTTCCTCCAGATGTAAAGAGTGCCCCCTTGTCCTCTGTGATGACCTCAGGGTGAATATCTCTACACCGAGTTCACTATATGAACCACTGATGTATTTATACATGTTGATCATATCCCCCCTAAATAAAAGGAAAAGTTTTATCTTTAGTTGCACATTAATTTTCACAAATTGGAACTGCTTTTTGTGCAGCCTGTCCAGCCAGACATTTTACTTACAGATGGAGCTTGGTAGGCTGAGTTAGCCCCTGGCTCTTTATGTCTTGGGTACACCAACAGTGCGATCTTCCTGACATAATTCTTGATTCTGTTCTTGTCTGGTTTTCTAGCTTCTGTTACGTTCTCAATATTATACAAAAAAAAAAAATCAAGCAAAAATGGAGGAAGCCCCATTGTAATGGTTTTGACTGCTGTGCTGACTCAGTAAAAGCTCCTTTACAAGTGGAATGAATTAAACTCCAAAACAAAAAAAAAAAGAAAAAAAAAGTAGTTTTGTCTTAAGTAAGGAGAAATATCTGCAACAGGATAAAAATGAAATGATGAAACATTTCTCCATTCTTCTATTGATAAACCAAACCAATAGCCCTTACATTGCTCTCACTTTATAAGGACATAGGCCTTGTGTATCAGGGGCATAAATGTAAAGCAGGAAATGTGATTCCAACGTACTTTCATTGGTGGTAAATGAAGGACTCCTTTAAAACACATGCTCTTATAAAGCAACGTTTTCATAACCATCTTCCAGGACAGCACATGGAGGCTTGGCCTGCCTAAAATGGGAAAGGCTTCACGCATAATCTATAAAAAGAGCACAAGTCATCTAGTCTGCTCAATATTATAGTTTCCTCCAGTCTAACAGGAACATCTAAATGTTTTTGGGGTTTTTTTTGTGTTATTGTTCCCTCAGGCCTTCTTGCTGGGGCCTCCTTATATACGTGCTAAATGATGATTTCAGGGACTGTGCACCTTGAGGGGTTGCGTATCTGAGCTTTTCTTGGCTAGGACTATTGTTAGTATCCTAGTTTTGGGACCTTTTCTCCCAATCAGGTCTCCTCTTCACCAAAAGAGAAGCACTATCCCTGTGGGTGCAGAGACTCTAGTGGAGTCCTCCCTTGTGTTGCCTCAGAAGGTTTGGGGTAGGGGGGAGCCCTTGGTGACAAGCTGAGCCCCAGATGCATGCTGCTGATTTGGTGGGGGGGGGAGGGGAGAGTTAGGGTTACATGTCTGAAGAAGGTCTATGATCCTCCTCACTGGGTGTCCGTGAGATGAGAGCAGAGGTGTTCCGCATCCCTGACTGCTTTTAGATGCAAGAGAGGTTTGCTGTGGATTAATCAGGATTTTGTTTGTTCTTGGTTTTAGGTAATAACTTGCTGCCTAAGCTGAGCTAGAAACCTAAAATGTGGATCCTGAAACAGGCTTCTGGGCTAAACTTCCGTTCAGGGGCTGCATAAACTAATCCTGTGTTTTAAAGTGGAGTTCCACTCATCCTGTCAAAAAAATAAGGCAGCAGCTACAAAAATTGTAGCTGCTGACTTAAAAAAAAAAAAAAAAAAAAAACTGCCACTCACCTGTCCCACGTGTGTCCACTACAGCCTGTATTCCAGGAGCTCGGCATCTTCAGTGTGGGCATCCGGCTGTGACTGCTTGCAGCTTCAGAGCCGGGTACTCACTGCGCATGCGTGAGTAGTGCTGTGCTTCATGAATGGTCCTGTAGTCTTCAGGGACCTGTCACGTGTCCCAAAAGACTACGGGGAGGGAGGACAACTTCCGGTCTAATCGCCTAGGGCAATAGGAAGCAGAAGTGGGAGCGGGTACCTGTTGAATTCGGGTACCCACTCCCCCCCCCCAAAGGTGCCTGTCCTTAATGGGGAGTGGGGGAGCAGTCCTTCAAGCGGAACTCCGCATTAATGATTGCTCGCTAACACTTGTAGGTGTCCGCTTGCTCGTTACATATTCTAGAATCATATGTTGGCCACCTCTTCTATGGGTGTCAGCAGCTTTAATTTACCATTAGCTCTGGACTCAGAAGGGAGCCAGACAAACCCTCCTAGCTCATGAGTGTGGGCAGATAAAGCTATCTATATGTACTGCAGTGTATCTTGGGAATCGCTGTGTATATACATTAATTAAATACTGTAAGTCAGGGGTGGGCAACCTTAAAGAGGTAAAGATCTACCTTAACAACATGGGAAAAGTCAAAGATCACCGGGCACAGTGTCACCTCCTCACACTTGATTTAAACCTCTAATTGCCATGCTACTGTGTCACAATGATGGATTTAAATCAGGTGTCAGGTGTTGAGGAGGCAACATATCATCTCCTTAGCACCTGTCAAACACTCTCAGAGGAGCAGTAGTATCTGCTGCACTTGTGAATGAGCCCTTAGTTGCATCCGGCAGCGGCACTCTTAGACCTCGTTCACATCTAAAGTTGGGTTGTGGTAAAACCCTGCAGTTGAGTCCATGGTTTTACTGCCCCCAGTCCCTACCCCCCTTTACCTGCTGAGGCAGCAGCCAAAGGTATACACATGCCGCAGCAGGAATTACACCCCCTGTTGCTTTTGGTAGGTACTACTGCCTGTCATTTGAGACCCATTCAAGTAAATGGGGCCACTTTGCAAGTGTCCCACAACTGCATGCTTCTGATGGGTTCAAGAGGCCAAAGCAGGTGATAAAGCAACACACCGCTGCCTGTTTAACCTCTTGTTTACTGTATTGCACAAGGTTGCAGGGCACTTGCACAGTGACCTCATTTACTTGAATGAGTCTTGCTTGGCAGGAGCTACACCCACCAACCATGACAGGGTGTAGGAGCCGGTACTACAGAGCTCTTGCTCCGTACTCCAGCTCCAACTTTACAAGTCCCTCTACGTTGCACTCTGATGCTCTAGGATGGTGGGTCAGCAAGCCCTGACTGTGATCTACCAGTCACCTGGCTGAGATCTACTGATAGCTGACCCCCACTGTAAGTAGTATTTTAAAAAGGTCAATGCATAGAATTTATACAGCTGTTTATACAGAACATGGAGTCAATATGAATGTTTGTTCTGTGGTTGCAGGAAAGAAAATAGAATATTCTATGGTTTTCCTTAGCCATAACAACTAATCACATTTTACTTATAAGTAATAAGTATAGAGAATATACAAGAGGTAGAGCAGCCACACTTATGTCATTATTCCGTTCTATTAAATCATGTCATTATTCCGTTCTAACATAATAAATGATTGGCTGCTGTTATCTAAGTCACATCATATTGGATTTAATAGAACAATGAAACATGACTTTCATTATGGTTTTTCTGACTTCTCTTCTTTTTAAATAAGAATAGATCATTTTCTAAAGGAATTATCATAGCCGAGTTTTATTTGTTTTATAATCTCAGCAGAGAGTGTAATACAACCACAATCTATGCAGTGACACAGCAATACAGAAAATGGCACCTGATTATTAATTAAGCCCAACAGGCTACCATAGTGGCACGACAGCCTGGCAATAGCATGTGGATCTAGAATG